GAACCCACGCGAACACGGGGAGAACATGCAAACTCCACACAGAAAGACCCCGGCCTGATGGTGGAATTGAACTCAGGATGGCAGCACGGTGGCACGGTGGTTAGCACTGTTGCCTCACAGCAAGTAGTCTAACATAAATGCTGTAATTTGATTATTTTAATAAACATGTAACTTGGATGCTGGCGTGACCACAGTGCACACGTCTGCTGTTGCTCACAGTGGTCCAAGGGACGCTCAGGGAGTTTGTGCGTTCGCTCAGACACGTGAAACATTAGAGGGAACGTTGCTACCGTCATCTTTCACATCAACTGTTGAACGAGGTCGTGGATGCAAGTAGTGAAAGAGATACAGCAGGTTCAGTGTGGATGGCGAGGTGCCCATAACACCTCACTCAGAGCCTTCTGTTATGGCCTTATGCATCTCTATAAACCTTAACCATGACCAAATGTTGTCGAACTCTTGAGTGACACGTTATGAATACAGAGTTGAATCTTTAAAAACTCCACTGTGTCTAGGTAGAGCGCTAATTTCATTAACAAATCAATATTTCGGTTGTTCCCAGAAACAGGATCATGTAAAGTGCATTAAAATGCATCCATTTTTTAAGTTGAACCACATTCACAGAGTGACAGAAGCACTGGATATAAAAACACTCTCACACTTGGCTGCCAGTGAAACGTTCAGCTGGGCTCAAATGTGTTTTAAAGGGCATAGAAACACACGCCTGTGTTCATCTTGTGTTTTATTTTCCAGGCATGAAACTGACCTAACAGTTCAGCCCACACAGAAGCTGCATGTTGAAGCACTTTGCTTTGGTGTCCATATCATGTCCAGACAATCAGCATTTTTATTGCCTTCTGTGTCCAGCTGGACTTTGACAAAGGTCCATTCAAAAAGAAAGACTCATCATTAGCACCTCTGGTGTGTAACGATGTACACCAGGCGATTAAGCCTGATTGCTGTGATCTTCACCCAAGCACCAGAGTATTCAGTACCACCTTTTCATAAGCAAAATTTCTAAATGGTTTGAAGCTGTAAATAATATCTTTAGTTTTGCTCAATGCACCATTACAGTGAACTGAGGTCTTTGTTTTAGTTTTCATGTGTAACAGGATGACTTAATCTACTAAAATTAGGAATCTGTGTTAACTTCTTAAACAAGCTCTGATGACCACACGCGACTTCCAAATGAGTAACGCTCTCTTCCACGCTCAACATCTAGAGCTTTACTATCAAACTGTCTTTGAGCTCTACCTTTAAGTGCTCTCTGCCTCCCCCTCACTTCCTCTCCTGCCTTTGACTCATTCAAATGGCTTTCTGGCTCCAGTCTGGAGAGTCGCTCACTTAGCAACTTGGCAATGGACCTGAAAAGATTAAGAAAATCTTGTGTCAAAAATTGCTGAGTCAGACAAGTCTGGTTTTATCAGCAGTGCCAGAAGTGTGGCCTATCAAAGGGACACACAGCAGCCAATAAGACAGTTCTGCCGTAATAATACTGTGCAGCCATTGTCTGTCAGCGCCTCTGTGCAATCTGCTGCATTTGGCCTCGCTTAGTTTCATGGCCTTTCACACACAGACTCGTGTTGTACATTGGAAGACAAAAATGCCGTCCTGCTTGGCAGAAGAGAGAAATGACATCCAGGCACCAAACTGGATCATTTCCCTTTTTTCCAGCAGGTTTCTTTCTCTGCTTTCAACCATCAGTAATTTAAAATATGAATTCATTTAGCAAAGATACTCATTTTACTCACTTTATCCTTTGATCGTAGTTGACACTGATGTGCAGGCCTCATCACCCTGGTCATGGGACACAGGTTTTGCTACCCATTGAAGCTGGCAAAAGAGCTTAGAAATGCTGGATGAGAGGATGCTGTTACTCCTCCATCTTCAGCTGCAGCTGTTAGTCCTTGTTTTGTTCTGCGGCCTCAGTTATCTTAATTACATACTTGTTATTAATCTCTGTCTCTCTTCCACAGCATGTCTTTATCCTGTCCTCCTTCTCTCACCCCAACCAATCACAGCAGGTGGCCCCGCCCCTCCCTGAGCCTGGTTCTGCTGGAGGTTTCTTCCTGTTAAAAGGGAGTTTTTCCTTCCCACTGTCGCCAAAGTGCTGCTCATAGGGGGTCATATGATTGTTGGGTTTTTCTCTGTATTTTTGTAGGGCCTACCTTACAGTATAAAGCACATTGAGACGACTGTTGTTGTGATTTGGCGCTGTAGAAATAGAATAGAATAGAATAGAATAGAATAGAATAGAATAGAATAGAATAGAATCTAGTTCCAGATCAGGTTGCCCTGTTGCTACCCCCAGAGGGTACTCTGTGTCATCCTGTCTCTCTGTTTTGGTTTGTAGCTGGTCATTTGCAGCAGAGCTTCACCAGCTATAAACATTTTTATAATAAGTCTGCACCAAGAGGTTTCAGCTTCTCTCCATGCTTTTAAGAGTGATATATCTGTTTGGCTCCACCCCGTCCGCCCACCCCACTCGCCGTGTGACCACGTGGGTCCTCGTCACTTGGCGAGTAACTTTGAGCTGGATAAAGGAAGCAGTACAAGCCCTTTACTTCCTGATGAAAACTGCCTGAGTCGAGCTCCTCGGCTGTACAGCTGACGTTGCTGTGCCCGAGGCAGATTCTCTGGTGATAACATCCCGAACACGAGTAGCTTTCCTCTCAGGTCCAGAACGAACTGGATTTCACTCTTTACAACAGATCCATGCTTTTGGAATATATGCAGGGTGTGGTCTTTGAAATGTTACTGACACGTTGGCAATAATCTTCACAGTATTTTGTTGCCTCTTTTCTAACTTTTCCCGAAGATGTTGCTAGTGTGTAAGTTAAATGAAGCACGTGTCTATTTAAAATAATACTTTAAAAAAACAAAGTGTTCATTTGCAACAACAATAAAACAAGATCATGAACTATTCACGTGTTGTTTCTGTCATGACTAATATATTCTGATTTCTCGTCACTCAAACAGGATAAATAAGCTGCAGCATTTATTCTGATGATGACCTTAACACTCAATTTCTCTCTTATTGTCTTTCCTCAGACTTGCGGCGAATGACAGCTGGTTTCATGGGCATGGCTGTGGCCATCATCCTGTTCGGCTGGGTCATTGGTTTGCTGGGCTGCTGCTGGGACCGAGGCCTCATGCAATATGTGGCCGGCCTCCTCTTCCTAATGGGAGGTGAGTCTCAGAAACACACACACACACACACACACACACACACACACACACACACACACACATGCCTGACGGGGGCAGCAAAGACACCTGGACCTCTAACTCAAGGACCTATGCAGTTTTCTCTGCCTTTATGTTTGTTGAAATATTTTTATCATCATTCAAATGATTCAAAGTCTATATTTTCTTACACAAAATGAACCATGGCTACAAACCCTGGTGTTTTTCCCTCACTCCCACTTTGCTCTCCAGTGGGTTTGATGCATTTTAGAACTGCAGTCTTCTCCACTGACTTGCTGCTGACACTAACTTGGCCCTGTTGCTCTTAAACACCTCTGGTGGGTTCTTATAATCTATGCACAACAGTCTCTCCAAGCACTCAGAGGACGGGACAATCCAGGGAAGGTCTGTACACAAGAGGAAGAACGGTGACATTAGTTGCAAGGAAAACACACCAGACTAAAGAACCGGAGCTTTATTAACAGCGTCGCTCAATGATCCAGCAAAGACTGAACCTCAGCCACCATCTAAGTAGCGCCTCTTGATGAAATCATTGGGAAAAAGTAACTGATTCATCAACATCGACACAGACACACAAGCACAGAGAGAGGACAGGGAGACACAAAGAGAAAGCAAAGCCTTCGACCAGATTCCAAAAGGCTGATTCTGCTCATCTGGACATTTTCAGTGGGAGAATCATAATTGTATTTGCTGCTCTACCACAGCCCACTGTGACATTTTCACTGTGAATTCTCACAAATACTTCATGGATACTTCATAATAATAACACTTAATGCATTAGGTGAAGCATTTCCAATGAACACAAAGCAGGGAAAAAGTTACAGTGTGTTTGGGATCTATTCAAAGATAATCGGCATTAAAAGTATTAAAGCAACTGCAACTGTATTTTAAATTTTGCATGATGTGACCTGTTCAGTTCCTGCTGCCGGTGCTCACCACAGATATCACATCTTTCAACATCTTGTTGTTTTTGCAGGAACCTTCTGTATCATCTCCCTCTGTACCTGCGTCGCTGGCATCAACTTCGAGCTTTCCCGTTACCCGCGGTACCTGTACAGCTTGCCCGATGATATCGGCCACGGCTACGGCTGGTCCATGTTCTGCGCCTGGGGAGGCCTCGGCCTCACACTTATCTCTGGCTTCTTCTGCACTCTCGCGCCCTCTGTTCAACCAATACCGAGGTCTACCTGTCCCAAATCTCGACAGGAGAACGGCACCGTGTGCTAAAGCTGGCTGGGCCAGGCCAGCTGAACCCACAGACAGACAAAACAAACAAGCTATTCCATGTTTCCATGTGTCAGCTCATATCCACTCTATCCTGGTTACAGATTTTGTGTGTGTGTGTGTTTAACATGGGTGTCTTGATATCTTGAAAATACAAGAAAAAAACCTGAAGAACTGAAGAAATATCAAAAATTAAAAGTTGTGTTTATTTTTATTTTGTGGAGTAGATGCAGAAATGGATCGTGACCAGGAAAGACGTGAAAGAAATGATATGGAGACCACGAAAGACTAAATTGTAACGAGTGAGTGCTTTACTGGTCTACTGTGATTGTGGAGACGCTAATGGATTAACAGGTTGTTCAGAAGATCAAGTAAAGATCTTCTTATGATCTTTTAAAGCTTTTTGTGGAATATTTCACAAGCCAGTGGATCAAACATGAAACCATGTGACTAGCAGGAGTGGGATCACATGAATTCTCCAACTTCTGGGGTCCTTCCAGTTACTAGTAACAGGCAAGATCCAGAAGAGACGATCCAGGACTTCCACTGATGTACATTATTGTACAGAATATTCAAGAGAAATGACAACCAGGCATTGTCACGTTGGACCGTTTTCATCTTTGTGTCGGTGCAGCACATTCCAGCGAATGATCCTAATCTAACGTTTCATACATGCATTCCTCTTTTACTGAAACTGTTTTGCTTTTTACTGAACCTTCATGTTGTGAATGAACTGTTGACTCGCTCAATGCAAATGTGTTTAATTTTTTCATTCTAGTCATAAGGCTAAATGTGTGTG